AAAAAAAAAAAAAAATTAAAGAAAAGAAAATAAAAAGATACATAAAATATTCAAACAACAGAATGATATACAGCAATAAAAATGAACAGTCTACAAGTACATCCAATAATATGGATGAATTTCATAAATATAAAACAATGTTGGCCGGGCGCGGTGGCTCACGCCTGTAATCCCAGCACTTTGGGAGGCCGAGGCGGGTGGATCATGAGGTCAGGAGATCAAGACCATCTTGGCTAACACGGTGAAACCCTGTTTCTACTAAAAGATACAAAAAATTAGCCGGGCGTGGTGGCAGGCGCCTGTAGTCCCAGAGACTTGGGAGGCTGAGGCAGGAGAACGGCGTGAACCCGGGAGGCGGAGCTTGCAATGAGCCGAGATTGTGCCACTGCACTCCAGCCTGGGCGGCAGAGCGAGACTCCATCTCAACAACAAAAACAAAACAAAACAAACAAACAAAAAAACAATATTGAGGCTGGGCATGGTGACTCACACCTGTAATCCCAGCACATCGGGAGGCCGAGGCTGGCAGATTACCTGAGCTCAGGAGTTCAAGACCAGCCTGGCCAACATAGTGAAACCCCATCTCTACTAAAAATAAAAAAATTAGCCCTGCATGGTGGCCGTGCCTGTAATCCCAGCTACCCAGGAGGCTGAGGCAGGAGAATCGCTGGAACCCGGGAGGTGGACACTGCAGTGAGCCAAGATAGCACTACTGCACTCCAGTCTGGGTGACAGAGCAAGACTCTGTCTCAAAAGAAAAAACAAAAAAAAAAAAACATTGAGAGAATAAACGCAGTCACAATGCCAGGCACGGTGGCTCACGCCTGTCATCCCAACACTTTGGGAGGCCGAGGCAAGAGGATCAATTGAGCACAGGAGTTTGAGACCAGCCTGGGCAATACAGTGGGGCTCCATCTCTACAAAAAAAAAAATTTTAATTAGCTGGCTGGGCCGGGTGCAGTGGCTCATGCTTGTAATCCCAGCACTTTGGAAAGCCAAGGCAGACAGATCACCTGAGGTCAGGAGTTCAAGACCAGCCTGGCCAACATGGTGAAACCCCGCCTCTACAAAAAAAAAAACAAAAATTAGCTGGGCATGATGGCAGGCGCCTGTAATCCCAGCTGCTAGGGATGCTGAAGCAGGAGAATTGCTTGAACCCAGGAGGTGGAGGTTGCAGTGAGCTGAGATCAAGCCATTGCATTCCAGCAGCCTGGGCAACAAAGCAAGATTCTGTCTCAAAAAAAAAGAAAAAAAATATTAGTTGGCCGTGATAGCAGGCGCTTACAGTCCCAGCTACTCAGGGCTGAGACAAAAAGATCACTTTAACCCAGGAGGTCAAGGCCACAGTGAGCTGTGATGGCACCACTACACTCCAGTCTGAGTGACAGAGTGAGACCCTGTCTTCAAAAAAAAAAAAAAAGGCAGTTATAAAATGTACACACATGATTCCATTCAAATAAAAGACAAAAAGACAAAACAACTGGCTGGGCGCAATGGCTCACACCTGTAATCCCAGCACTTTGTGAAGCCAGGGTGGTTGGATCACCTGAAGTCAGGAGTTCGAGACCAGCCTGGCCAACATAGCAAAACCATGTCTCTACTAAAAACACAAAACTTAGCTGGGTGTCGTGGCAGGCGCCTGTAATCCCAGCTACTCCGGAGGCTGAGGCAGGAGAATCGTTTGAACCCAGGAGGCAACAGTTGCAGTGAGCCAAGATCAAGCCCCTGTACTCCAGCCAAGAACGAAACTCCGTCTCAAAAGGAAAAAAAAAAAATTGAACCAATATATGCTGCTAGACATCAGGATAGTGGTTAACCTCTGGGTAGAGGGTAACTGAAAGGGAAGACAAGATGGACTTCTGGGTACTGATAACATTCTGTATCTCCATCTGGGTCCTGCTTACAAGGGTGTATTAAATTTGTGAAAATATAGTGAATTCAGGATATCTTAGGATATGTGCAGTTTTCTACATATTATACTTCAATAAAGATGTTTCATTTAATTAAAAAGAAGAAAGCCTACCCATTGGAATGAAGAGTCCACCATCTTCTATCTCTTCCTCAGGTTGGTGAAACAGAGTCCTGAGTGGCTTTTCTTGAGGAGAAGCACAAACATCTGGCTGGGTTGATTTCCTGGGCTGGCTTACTGGTTTTGCAGATTGGCTGCCTGATGGCAGTGAAGGTATCTCCCCTTCAGAATGCATTTGAGGTTTCCCTGAAGAATCACAAATATTGCTCCACACTTTGACCATTCTGAATCATACTCTGTTGTAGAATTCAGCGTCTTATTATAGTCTTTCTAGGTAGACAACTTCATGAATTAAGCATTTACTATACAGGCATTTTCCTTTCTTAAATCAAAGCTCAGATCCAATTTACTCATCTGTAAAGTCAGGGAGATAAACTAGGTAATTGCTAAGGTCTTTTGGTTTCTAACATGCTTTCAGTTTTGTATTTTTTCCTACGAAAAATCAGACTCATAATTGTAGAGGAAATTCCTGATGACATTTTATATAGATGACCATTAAAACCACATTTCATCAACTATAATTATAAAATGCCCTGACTTTGTAAATCAATCTGACAGAGCAGAAGAGTAACTGTCACCACAAAATTGTAAATATATGCTTCTACAGTCCATTAGACAACTTTCTCACCTCAACACTTCATAAACACTCCCTTTGTCGGGGGAGTAGGTGAAGATAGCATTAAAAAGATAAAGAAAAACGGGGTGACGGTGCATGCTTATAGTCCTAGTTATTTGGGGAACTGAGCTGGGAGGATGGCTTGAGGCCAGGACTTTGAGGTTACAGGGAGATATGACTGCACCACTGCACTCCAGACTGGGCGAGGCAGCAAGATCCTGTCGTGCAAAAAAAAAAAAAGCCAGG